TGATCGAACTACGCGCTGAATTGGTTTTCCGAACTTATAAACACAATTAAACTATTATAATAATATAGCATTAAAGATCCAGCTTTGACTGTTAAGGGCATTTAATTTATAGTATTGATTTTTATTTAAGATTCTCAGTATATGTAGATATTGCTAAAAAAAAAAACGAAAGGTGTTGTACATGTTGACTATTATCTCATTCCCTTTGATAAAATATATATTGTTTAAATCGCTGGTCAATAATTTAGAGACATATTTGTGTCTAATTTTTTTTTACATTATTTAGATAAAAGTAATCTTACTTGCACACTGAGAAAAATGTTCGGTTGAAAATGGACAAACCAGGAGATTCTAATCATCAATCAGAATTTTCTGGTTTGTTCATTTTCAACTAAACATTTTTTTTAGAGCATCATTTGATATAACACAACATGATAATAATATACTTTTTATATACTTTAAAAGTACATATATAATAACTTCTTTATGCTTGTAGAGAAGCATATAAAATTGAGTAAACATTATACTATAATAGCGCATTCAATTTTTTATTTATATTTTAGATAAGAGAAATTTATATTTTAAATTTCATGGTACCGATTTTACATCAGTAGAATTACGGGTCATTCAGTTTACGTGCTAATATTACTCTATATACAAATGCAAAAACAATTCGTCAGAATTAGAATTGGTAAGCCTAGAGATTTCAAAAGAGATATATTTATTGCAGTTGTGAGTTGCTATAATGTCACATTTCTAAACGAGAAATAACTTTATTGCGATACAAATAATATAAACGTATTAATTTAGTATAGATCGAAACGTTATTCCGACATTATTGCAAACTTGTTTAAGCTATCGAAGAATATTAGATATATATCTTTTCAAGAAGCAATAAAATTAATCAAAAAAGAGATATTAAGCTTTTAAGAATTTTATATATGTATAAATTAAATTAAATTTAAATAATAAGGAAATGTTTTTCACATTTAAAACATAATGCTTCCAAGACACGTGTCTTGCTTTAATACAACATTGAAATCACTGAATTTATCAATGACTTTAATGCCTGCACGTATCATGTTCATCATTATTGTCGCAAGAAATATAAAATTACGTCAGCTTTCCGAAACAATTAAATGGAATGTATGATTAGTATTATCTTTTAATCTTACAAATCATTATTAATATTCATAAATTATTAAAAACATTTTCATTAAACACAATTTAATGTCTCGCGTTGTAATATGTACATAGATATCGACTTTTTCATGATTAACTAATATTAAATAACAAATTTTTGATCTAATACCGTTCACTTTGGGTAACAATAATATTATTTAAAAGGTTAATACGAGATTAATTCAATGCTAATCTAAACATACTTTTAAAGTGATATATTTATTTCGAAAATAATTCAGATTTGTCATACAATTTGTACTACAATACAAAGTGTGTCTCCCATTAGAAATTCGTTTCCACCAACGTAGATGGTTCACGTTTTAATCTTTAAAACTAGAAAAAGACAAAGAGTAAGTTGAACCGAGATTAAAGTTAATCTACGTCGATGGAAATGGGGGGAGGGGAGGGGGGGGGGCGTCTTTATTTATACTTATAAAAAGTTTATTATTACTGATTATATTATTTAATTTTTAGTTTCATTTTTAATTATTTACATTCTTGCAATTACAATGCGTAAAATGTAAAATGAATCGTGCTATGCGTGTCGTAACCCAGTCAATGTTAGCAACATGGGTAGTACGTGCATGGGGTCCTCTGTAATATGGTGCAAGGTGGTGGTGTTTGGAGAAGGGCCCGGACCACCGGCAGATGTTCCATTCGTCCCACCGCCCGCTATGGAGGGCCCCTCGCAGGGCTGTATAAAGTCACGGATACACGCACAACGTTGTCGACGTTGTCGCGTACTAAGGAATCGATAATATCGGCATGAACAGCTGCATCCGTCGATTCTCCCCAAAGATTTTCCTTGATCGCACTCTTCAAGAGAGGGGGAGAGAGAGAGAGAGAGAGAGAGAGAGACGCATAAACGGCATTCATTCCGTTTTTGTCGGCGGATCAGAGAAATGTGCTACGATTGAATATCCTTGAATTCCACTCTCCTCGTAGAAACGACATATCTAATGTATTCGTTCTGTAAAACGTCTCTTCGCTATCTCTGCGTTACGTGTAAAAAAATAAAAAAATAAGAGAACGTGAATATTGTTTGACAAACAAAGACAGAACGATACTCGTATCGACTTGTGTCACTAAATGGAAGATACTCGAAGAATTGATATATAAAGTGTTCTATTCATAAATATGTGTCACATAGATGGAAAAATATAAAATAAATGTAGCAAGAAAAATTATTATTATATATGGTATACCTATGGTCAGAAATTAAATATACGAAAATAAATATGTTAAAGTGTGTTTAGTTTTTTAAATAACACTCAATATTTGTCTCTTTTCTCATTCATACTATAAAGATTTGTTATAGATTAACCATTTTATGATTGTGGCTTTTTATAAATTTCATATTTTACAACACACAACGATTTTATTTAAAGGGCATACTCTTATTATAATATTATTTATTTCTGTTTCAAGAAAGAGATAAGCTACCGTTGTGCGTGCTGAAATACGAATTTGAATTTGTATTCTTCGAAAATAATACAGCTGGTTAACGAACAATCATAAAAACTACATGATAGAACGGGTTATCAGCCATTTAGGTAAACGATTGTAATGTACATTATAATACAATACTCTAGTCTACCCTACTTATCAACCTCATTCTGATTTCTTCTATTTCTACCAGACTTGTTCCCGAAAACAATGGCGATGCGTTTTGCTCGTTTCATTCTTTGTGAGTTTGATTCTTCGTAGTTCGAAAGACGGTAGATGGGGGACCTCTTAGATGCCACCCCAATGAGACTAATCCAAAAAAAAGCCATAGATATAGCTTCGTGACTTAGACTTGCATACCTGTGAAATTCATGGAATTCTTATGAGATTTTAAATCGATAATATCCCCATAATACTGTTCAAATGTTAATTTTTTAACACAAAGAAAATTGGATAAATCTGTATTGAGAGAGAATGATTTTGTTGTAGGAACAAATTAAGGGAAAACAAATAATAAATGATATTTGTTAAAAAAAACTGTCTCTCAAACGGCGTTTTATAAGATAATGTAATAATAAACATTTGCAAACACGCATTGTTGTATAAAATACTTAATACAATGTATTCGTACTTAAAATGGTACCCGGTAGTCTCACACGTTGCTGAAAAATAAAAATTCAGTTCTTTTCGATTAAAATACAATAAAAAAAATGTAATACGTCTATGAAATGCTTATTCTTTTTATAGTGTAATTGACTGGTATTGCTTATTTTATTTTAATATCTTATATTAACACACACACCACTATATTTTTCTTAATGTGTTATTTTAAATATATATATTAATTATATATATATATATATACACGCATGTGTGTGTGTGTTAGTTTAATATATCGGATAATATAATGCTTGGAAGAATTGTTACTGTGAAAAATGTTTCTACTTGACAGAGCATAGTTTGTCATTTCTATTTCAACATGCGGAACTCAAAAAAAAAAACCAAAGTCGCGACTTCACTACACCTTTCTTTACGATCATTGTGAATCTGGCCACACTTGGACATGTGTTTTAACTGGAATTTACTTCTGGTTCATGAATACTCGAGCGGGTAAACATATCGACAGAGTGCACTTTCCGGCGCGCCATAAAACGCACGAAACATGTGCCGGATGTCTGCGGAGACATTGGCTGCGTTCAGCGAACTCAACAGTGGTGTATTCTTTTAGATTATCCAATCAGCATTTTAAATTTGGAAGGAATACATCAATAACAGCGAGCGCTCACTCAAATGTTGAGTCCGCTGAACGCGATCATCGATTACCTCCAACCGGAGTGGATTATGATTTTTCGGAGTCTGAAGCTAAATACTCGAACATAATCGAACGAGAAAGTATTAAGTAAATGAACTTTTCTCTTCTTTAAGCAATATACATATTACAATGAAAAAAGATATTCTTAAATTACTGCGCGATAATCCTTGAGAGATTATAGAGATTTGAAACATTTTTTAGTTTTTAAACGGAAACACATCAGAGTAAAAAAATACAACGAATATATAAAAGTTACAAAGGTTTTCTTATTCTTTAAGTTTTTTTTTAGAGTATTATTTTACTCTAAAGAGTGAAAATTGAGTCAATTTCGAAAAAAAAAACTTAATTTTTGATCCATAAGAGTGAGATTTCACTTTTCAGAGTGAATTCACTCTAAAAGTTTTAGAGAGTGTGTATATATATATATATATATATATATATATATATATGTATGTACATTATACAGGATGAGTCATTAAGGTCGGCCACCCGAATAACATTCTCAATTTTGGAGATAGAAAAAAATATTTCAGAAAATGGAAATCTTTCTTTCAGGCGTCAAAAAGATATGAAGGTCACTTCCACTTTTTTAAATGGAATTGCATAAATTTTTTTACGTAATATGTATTCTTCTAATTATTCTACATATAAAAGTGAGTTATACGTTTTTTTTTAAATTTTTATCTGAAACATTTTTTCCCATCTCCAAAATTGTGGGTGTTATGTTACGGGTGACCGACCTTAGGTAACTCACCCTGTATATAACTTTAAAAATATTAGACAAGTATTTATAAAATTGTTGCGTGGAGCTTCTTGACGATTGAAGCTGTTTGCTTAGTTTCCGCTCCAGTCCGAAGATGTGACTAAGTAAGAGAAAGGGGCATACAATTACAGCGGTGCTGGTAGTAATGGCATCCCTCTTCGATGAGGATCATCCTCTTTGAAGACCACCGACGGTGTGTATGCATAAAATGAAGTGGTAGAGTTTTCTTGTATACGCGCGTCATTAACATTTATATATATTAATCGGAGTTTTCGGAAAAATGTTGTAAGTTAAATTAAATTAGCCAAATTATTATTAAGCAAATGAAGCTTTATTAGAAAATATAAGTTAAACACAACTTAATTATACAACTTAAATAATGTAAAAGAGAAGTAATGTTATGTAATTAATATTGAATTATTAAATACTAATAATTAAATATTATTAATTACATAACTTTCCTTATGTTTTTCTTTGATATTTTGCTTTTTATTAGCTGAAATATGAATTTATAATTTATTCGCGTTCCTGAATTTTTGAAAAATATTATGCGATAAGTAAAAAATCTGTGCGTAATATAATATAAATTGTGAGAATAAACAATGTTACTACCGCAGTTTTGTTGGAAGAAATTTTTCTTAGCAGTCGATGAAAACGAACTGATCGTTCAGTGACATTTTCCACTGATTCTCGCGCGATATTCTGTCGCTCTATTCCTTTTTTATCTTTTCATGCGTATCAGAGTACCGACGCTCAGCTTGCGGAGAAAGATGAGGTACGACAAGCGGTCGACAATGATGTAGGAAAATAGAAAAAGAGTGCTCCATCGAGTTCATATTTGAGGCGGACGATCGGTCTAGTTAAGTATCGAGTGTCGAAGTGGGTATCGAATATCGAGAGAATACCCTGCTTCGATACACGAACAGCATTCCTTGTTGAAAGTAGAGATGTTGGGTCGCAACCTTCCGTCAAAATTTATTGGATTTTCTTTCAGTGCTTTTGACGATGAGTAAAAGAGTGTACAATCTTGCTAGTTATTAACGAGGCTGGATTAATCTTTACAGAAGATCGTAAATCTTCTAAAACGTAATATCTTCAAGATGACATTTTGTTTTAATCGCAATGAGAGATCCAAAAACTTGTACGTTAAAAAAGAAATTTGAAACATATTTTATTTTTTTAGAAAATACCTATATATATATATATATACATTTTTAAAATTTTAAAATATGAGTACAAGTTTGAGAAACTTTTTCAAAATCAATATATTTAAAGAGTAAATTCCTGTACAATCTTAGGATCAAAAAAACACTATACATAATTTTACTTTAATTAAAATTATAAATAATTTTACTTCTCTCTCTCTCTCTCTCTCTCTCTCTCTCTCTCTCTCTCTCGGAATCCATCGGTATTATCGAAAATTACGACGGGTCTTCTGAAGGCGATTGTTAACAGAAAAACGTGGAATACCGTACACGTGTGTTTACATTGGCAAGAGTCGCGTGGCCGTCTAGGTGTCGTAGCGTACACGCAATTATCCTCGCGACCGACAAGTTTATTTTCAATGAAACTGCGCTTTTGGTCCGCATCGGTCGCTCGTAAAGGGTCCGGTGTTATGCGCACGGGCTGCATAAGCACGAGACTTTGTGGCTCGTCCACGGACAGGCGGATAATATATTGGAGTTATGCTAATTTTACGGCCGGCCCCTACGGGAAAAAGCGAAGCCAAAAAGGATCCCACCCGTGCGCGTTTTTGCACGCGGACGAGCGGCTAGTCCGGTCCGCCCGCCGTCGACGCCGCGATGGAAAACGCTCCAGGAATACGAGAGTCAGGAGCGGCGAGCCCGCGCGAGTGTTCGCGAATATTATGCGCACCGGAGGTGGAATTCCCGAATAATAAGACACCACGAGCCACACGAGAGGCTCCCAACGACCCTTTGAGGGGAAAAAGAAGTAAGCGGGACTCTTACGTCGTTAGAGAAGATTCGAGTTATCTCCCCCATCGCTCTTTGTCGACAATTCCTGAATAATCATTTCGGAATTAATTCCAACTTCATTCATTTGTATTACAACTTTAAATACAAAGCGCCTTCCCGGTCCGAGTGTTAAGATGTTGAACTACTATCTAATATACATTCAATTAAATTAAATTAATATTTCAGAAATAAATTGAGGGCTATTGAATGTATATTAGATAGTAGTTCAACATCTTAACACTCGGACCGGGAAGGCGCTTTGTATTTAAAGTTGTAATATTTATATAGGCGGTCTTGTTTCCAATCATATTGTT